ACTCTGGGCGGAGGAATTACCAAATGTACTATGGGCGTACCATACTACAGCACGAACCCCAACTAGGTAGACCCCTTTTCGCTTAACATACGGCACTGAGGCGGTCATCCCAGTGGAAATCGGTCTGCCTACCCTGAGGGTTCTACACACAAATCCAGAACTCACTGAAGAACTGCGTCGAGCCGACCTAGACCTGATTGAAGAACTCCGAGAAACCACTGCTGTCAAACAGGCCTCACATCAGCAGAAAATGAGAACACACTACAACCGCAAAATCCGACCGAGGGAGTTCGCCGTAGGGGACCTTGTTTTGTGTGAAGAAACTCTTGCCACCAAAAATTCAGCTAAGGGCAAGTTGGTAGCCAAGTGGGAGGGGCCTTATGTTGTTAAGACCAGACCTCGTTCGGGCACTTACCGACTTCAGGACATGGAAGGTCGAGATCTCCCCCATCCGTGGAACGCCGAGCACTTGAAGCGTTATTTTCAATAATGCCCTATTTTTGTATTGATTAGTTGCTGTATTTTCTTTTTGACAATCTAAGCACTTGAATGTTCTTATTCTCGTCTCACATGGTGTAAATTTATGTTCAAATGGGCTGCACCTTAAAAGACAACAATCTTATATCTCAGTAATCTGTGTGGTATTTCAATAACGCCCTGCTTGAAACCTCAGCCAGACTAAGTTACTTAAAGCCTCAGCAAGACTGAGCACGAAGGGCTTAGCCAGACTGAGTTAATTATGCCTCAATTATTCTGACAACTTCATGTTTGTAGCATAGATGCCATACTTGGTCCAATTCTAGGTCCATGCTTTTACGCCTCTTAACATTCTTTACATTTTTAACTTTCATTTGCCAACCATTTAACACTTCAAGACTCTCACACTTTAAGACCTTTACATTTCAACATTCTTACTGTTAACATTCTTTGCATCATAAGTTTCTCACAAGCTAGATTGGCTCTCTACTTCTCAACTTTCACTGCGATTTATACACAAGCCTTATTTGAATAACCATTCTTAGATTTACAAAAATAAAGGCCACAGTGTGACAAACACAACTCAGAATTTTATTTATTCACGAACTTATAATAAGTTTACTACAAAAATTACAAAAAAAAAAAAAAAACAAACAAACAACAACGACAACAAAACAAAAACAAAAACAACCAAAATTCTATTTACAAATTTTGTTCACACCAATCATTCATCTTCACTTGAGGCAAGGTCCTCCTCGTCAACACCCTCGTCTAGGGGGGTCTGGGCCACGTCATCTTCGTCTATCCTTACGTTGCTGAAGTCCAAGTCTGGGAACAGTTCTTCTGCTTTACGCTTGAAAGTCTTCCAGCCGCTGTCCCAGAACTCAGCTATCTCATGCTTGTAGAAGTCTGACCGCTGGAAGCTCTGGATCACTTCTTCTTCACTCCTGCTCCCAGCGGTCGCTCCCGATGGGCCAGCCCCCCCAGATCCCTCTCTCGCCAGGCTACTGGCGATCGCAGCATCAATGGCCATCTGGAATTCGGCGGACCCCTTGAACTGCTCAACCGCTGCAACACATAGGTCGGGGTACACCGCCCTCTCAGATGCCAGCTTAGCCCTTTCTTCCTCCAAGGCCTTCTCCAGCCCCGCCTTCTCCGCCGCTGACTTGGTGCGCTCATCTGCCAGCTCCCTCTCTAACCCAGCGATCTTCAGATCAGCTTCTTCTTTTTCTTTGATCGACTGGGCACGCAAATCTTCGTTGCAAGTCATGGCCTCATCCCACCATTCGTTGGCGATGGTACAGGCTTTCTAGGCCTCTTCCAGCTTCTTCTGCTCGGCAACCAGTTGGAACCCAAGCAACACCACCTTGCGGCATTCCGTCTCCAGCCCTAACTTGGTCGTGAGTAGCTCAGCATGGGCATGGTCGGCTGAATTGCCATGCACCACTGCCAACACCTCCATCTTTTTGGCCTTCAGGGCCTCTTCAAGCCCCCTGACACACGCACTCCACGCGGTCATCCTCCAGCCTGCGCTCTCCCTCCTTAAACTTTCAAGTTGGGCCTTCACCCCCTCCAACTTTGCCTTCAGTGGCCTCACTTCGCCCTTTGCGGCTGCCGCCTTGTTCAATAGGGCCCCTGCTAAGGCGGTCGCTTCCATTTGGGTAGAGCACAACCCCCTTAGCAGCTCAACCTTAGTAAAACTGGCCATCGAGCGCACGGCTGCGTCTTCCACTACTCCCAAGAGGCGATCATCAGCAGTCCTGGCTTTCCTTTTTCTCCTTCCAGTCGCCCGGACACTGCTGGGGCGTGGTAAAAGGCGGTCTTCAACCCGGCCCTCTCTTCTTCTCCTTGGTGCGCAGGACCCCCCTTGGACTGCTACTCTGTCCCCTCCAAAAGGCCAGTCGCCCCACCTTCCACTCGCTTTTCAGAGGCAGTCGCCCCACTCTCCACCCCTTTCGTCACCTCCTCTAGTCCCACTTCGGGGGTCTCCTCTGCCATCACCTCCTTCATTCTCTTTAGGTCTGGCCCCGCCCCCCTCTCCCTTACTCTTTTCTTCCTCTTTAATACGGCCTCCACCTCCTTTTGGCTCCTCTCCTTTAGAGGATCGACTGGAGGTGGTCGTGGGTCAAAACCACTCAGATCCTTCACCCCCTGCGGCTTGGGCGCAGTTGGACTCGCACCATTGCGACTGATTTTGGAGCAGGCCCCAATTGTGTCTCCTTATATTTGTTCGCTCGGGCGAATAATCTCCTTTCCTCCTCCTCCTTCACTTTTCGTTGCCTCTCTAACTCCTCCCGTGCCGGATCCACCCCCAACGATTGCGGTCCCAAGTTCAAGGAAAACAACGTTGACGGAAGGACCAGCTCGTCCCACCTTACTTCCTTCTCCTCCCTCCATTCCCTCACCTTCTTCACTCGATCTTCGGCCGCCCTGTCCAACTTGGGCTCGACCGATTTGGTGGGGACCTTCCACATTGTCCGAACTCCCCTTCCACCGTTCACGGACACAAAAAACCACCTCGGCCTCCATCCCTTCACCGAAGATGGAAGACCCGCCACCAGACCTCGCCTCACCACTGCTTGCAGAGTCACCCAAGCCTCCTGCTAACCGGAGGCCTTGTAGCAGGAGAAGAACTCCTCTACTGTCATTGTCGTTCCTCCAGTTGCCTGCTGCCAGGAACTCGCACATGCCATCAATATTTTCCAAGCGTTCGGCATCAACTGCCCTGGCGCCACTTCCAGCTTATTCAGCACGTCCACCACAACTTGTGGGAGAGGTAACCTCAAACCTCCTCGCAACGCCTCCTCGTAGAGGCTGAATTCGTCCAGCTGCACATCCGATGCCCTCTCCTTGGATGTAGGCAGCCTCAGGCCTATCTCCGAGGAAATTTGGTACTTCCTACTTATTCCCTCCAACTCCTTTGCCGTCAGTACGGATCTGTCCGATTTGGTGTGCCAGTGGTTCGGCTCCACCTGACTAATCGGCCTTGAGGCTGCAATCATTGTCCTAGGACGAGCCCGCACCGCCTGACTCGCCACCTCCCCCTCCCTTCGCTCCGTACAATATTGTTCCGCCAAATCCACCACATCGTCGTCGCCTAACGGATCAACCCTTGCGTTTGCTTCTCCCTCTTGGCCCATTTCTCTTGTGTGTCTACGAATGGTTTCGAACGCGGGCGCAAGAAAGTTCACAAAATGTTGTAAAGGTGTATCACTCGACACAAAAGAGTTTACTTCTGGAACGTTTTGGTTCTTTGCAAAGAGATAGGTAAAACAGATAATACCAAAAGCCTAGGGCTTGCCTATATTCCAAGGGTCACAATTAAATTTTGCCAGTTTGAAAATTTTCAAAAATCTGCCAAAACTGTCTTTTCAACACCCTATATTGACCTATCGCTTCATTTCTTGCTCAATGACTAACCTTCCCCATCCTGGGATTCCGTCACGTGTACGCCCACGATCCACTGCCCCTTTCCTTTTCCCTTTCTAATCCACTTCACTTCGCCACGTGGCCCGCCGCCTCTCGAGCCCTGTACCACACCACCCACCCTTCTCGGTCACCCTTTGCGGTTGACCCTTCTCATGGTCGGTCCCACCACTCGATCACCCTTCGCGGTCAGCCTTCCTCATGGTCGGTCCCTCCACTTGGTCACCCTTCGCGGTCGGCTCTCCTCATGGTCGGTCCCGCCACTTGGTCACCCTTCGCGATCGGCCCTCCTCATGGTCGGTCCCTACCCTCCACCCGGTCACCCTACGCGGTCGGCCCTCCTCATGGTCAGTCCCTATACTCAGTAACCTTTCGCGGTCGACCCTCCTCATGGTCGGACCCTACACTCAGCCACCCTTCGCAGTCCCTCCTTCTCAGGGCCAGCCCTTCCATTCGACCACCCATCGCCATCGGCCCACCCATCAGTCGGTCTTCGCCCCTCCCAGTCTTTCACAACCATCATCTCCTTCATTATTCCCTTCGTTGGACTAAAGTTGCACTTGGGAATGGAGGACTACTGACATGGGTGAGCCCATAAAGGGTACAGCCCACCACTTGGGGCCCAATGCCTAATTCAAATACTAAAGCCCAGCGTCGCTGAAGCTCAACATGGCATCAAGAACCAATGACACTTAGACACGTGGTAGGTGAAGGACAAGCCACATAAGCAGACAAAGATCCTGCAAAGTTATTGCACTGCACATCAGCCATTAATGAAGCCCTTACAGCATTTATTGCGATAACCCCTCTCCATCGAAATAGAACGGCCTCACCATGAATAAGGCAAGCTAGAGCATAGACTTTCGGCCAAGACGCCAGGTCCGAAGAGACAACGAAATGATTATCAGAGGATATAAGCAGATATTGAAGACAAGAAGAAGGTTAAGCTTTCTATCTCTAATCTATCTCTACATTCCACCTCTCTTTCTAACTTGCTCGTCGGAGGGTTCGCTGGGGGATTCCTCGTTCCCCGTTGAACTCTTGTGTAGGTCTTCTGGTCGGCTTGGTACCTCGGGCATTGGTTTAGGAAGCGTGGATCAGTCCGACCCGATCCATCTGGAACATGCTGCATCATCAGATACGAATAGTGAAGTTAAACCCAACAAACGTTTTCTTGGCAAGCTTGTACGGATATCCCTCTCTTGGTGATGAGAGGTGAGGATGGCGAGAAACATTACTAAGGCAGTCACAGAGAAGCACAGTCCAACCGGTGATGTGATGGCAAAGACGTCGAAGGCAGGCTGGTTCTCGAGCGTTGGTTTACCTGCACTTGAATTGCCACCGGGCACGATGCTTGCGGTGGCGAAGGCCACAATTGCAATGAGTGCAGCCACCACAGAGCACGAGTTTGAGGTGGTGGTGAGCCATTCACCACCCTGTTTGACGAGATCTTTGTGTGATTTTGTGAATATGTCCTTTGGAGTTTCATCGGCTTTGTTGTAGAGTACAAAGAAATGTAGCAGCATCGAATACTTCACAAACTGCAATACCTTCAAGGCTATAATTCGCAATCATATAAATTTCATAAAGTGCGGTGTTTTGGAAAAATTCAATCACAAAACATAGTTGAAATATGTTGATAGATAGATACAAGGTTTAGGGGCTGGGGTCTGATTTTTTCACAATTTATTATTAATTTTATATTTATGAATATTTATAAAATATATAATGGGATGCTTTCTTAATTTTGTAAAAATTATTTTACTAACTTTTTGTTTCATTAATATTTCACAATATATAATGAAAATAATCTCTAAATATTTTATATTTTAAACAATATCATCAATTTTATCAAGTTGATTTTACTAATATAAGAGGTACATATCACTTATTTGTTATTTAAAAATAAAATGGTATGTATACTTTTTTTTATGGGCAATGTTAAATAATCTAAAATTTCACCTACAAATTTATTCACAATGACATGGCTTGAGTCTGAATTGATTAATTTCTAAACGATCAACTGACATATAACATTCAACATCATTGAGTGTAAATTTAAGAGTTATGTTTTAGGGATCTTAAATATTTTTTTACTTCTTATTTATTGGATTATATTAATCAATAAAATAGTTTAAAACAATAATTTTATATCCAATTGCATACTAACACCTAATAGTTCAAAACTTTTAAAAATTAAACAACTATTTGTTAAATTTATTTAAGTTTCCCGTAAAATATTTTTTCACAATGGTTATATAACAATTTAGATAAAGTTTTTGGTTCAGCCCTGGACAAATACATACCTCATACCATTTGATTTCCCACTGCATTTGCAAGGCGGCACCGAGGATAAGCCAGGGACGATATTCTCCAATCTTTGCAGCCAGATGCACAGCACTGTTGCCATCCTTGTCCACTTTACTAAATATGCTGTCTTTCAAGACATTCCTCTCGAGTAAGAACTTGTATACATTGGTTTGCCTGTTCTCAACCGCCAGTAATACTATATTTTTTTCATCGGAATTCGTGTCATGAATGGCCACTGGAAATTGTTCCAGAACTTTCTCCACAATTTCTATGATACCATACTTCACCGCAACTAATATGGGTTTGTCATTCTTGTGTTGACCATCATTCTTTGTTTGATCTACCAATAATTGTTCCACAACTTTTACGATACAATCCGTCCCCACAACTAATGTCTTATTCTTCTGTTGACCTACAAATAGTTCATTAGTCAAGATTTTCTACAACTATTTTGATGTAGGAATCGGTGGATTTTTTAATTTTTTTTTTTTCCTTTTCCAACAACTGTTGATCTAATAATCATAATCTCTTCATTTTTATTACATTTGTCTCAAAAAAAAAAAAAAAAAATCTATTTTTAAAAGCATATTCATCGCCTATTTTCTTGATGTCAAACCCAATAAAATAAAAAGATTATAATTTGATGTCAAACATAAGAAAATAAAAACAATTATAATTATCAAATTAAATTAATTATTTTTATAGATTAAATTTATTAAATTTTATTTAAGATTTTTTAGACTTTTAAATTTTATTAAATTTTAATAGTTGTAATTGTCATTTAAATAATAATTATTCATAATTTATGATTATTTATAAAAGAACATGATGATTTGACATTTATTTTGAATTTCAAAATTTTAAAATATCAACTTTTAAATTGAAAAAAAATAATTTGTAAAAAAAAAAAAACTAATAAACAAATGTAAATATCTATATCTATATATTATATAAGAAAAATGAGATTTCTAATGAGAAGCCTCTTAAGATTTCTAAACTCTCATTCTAAAATTATTGATTTTTCAATTTATAAAGTAGACTAAAAAAATCTATTGGCTGATTTATTTATTTAATTATTTTAGAAATTGCATTTATTTTCTCTCTTTCAAAAAATCAGATAATATTTTTCATGAAAGTTGTGGGTATCTATCTATATCTTATATATTATATTATAACATAACAAAAAAAATTAAAAATCAAATATACAAATAAATAAAATTAATAAATTTGATTTTTATTTATTCAATTAAAATCTTTCTTTTGCATCTTAATATCCAATTTTAAATTTTAAAAATCTTTCAAGTTTATCTAAACAAATCTAATTTTAAAATATCTCTCACTATCATATTTTAAATCAATAAAACTCACATGTCTATCACATATCTAACTCACAT